TCTGATCAGCAAGTCCTAGGCTCTGTGGTTTAACCCACAGCACCACCCGTGTCCCTTGTTTTGGGGTTAGTTAAGTGTTAAAAATATTCAAATCTGTCCCGTTTTCGCTTCTCTGAATCAAGAAGAGAGAAGCATGAGTCTGTTTACAGAAGATTCTATTTTGACATAATAGCCGCACTTTTCATACTTGAGTGTGTTTACATTGCAGGGTCAATTCCAAAACTTTACCAAGTTCAAAGGGAGGGGAACAGCCATGCTGTTTCACTAGCAACCTCAGCTGAATGAATAAGCTAGTACTCTGGAAAATAAAAATAAAATGGTCTCTCTCCATGGAAATCGCCATGAAACAAAAATATGATCAGGGTGGGCTATGGGTGGAACCCATGTGTAATTACGCTTTCAACTAGGAAGTTCAAAACCAGTCTGTAGTGGTGTGCGCTATACTCATCAGTCTGTATTTTTGTCGATTGTGCTGACGGTCTCTTTGGAGGCATTGCCAAACTCGGCCCTCCAGCTGTTTTGGGACTACATTTCCCATCATCCCTGACCACTGGTCCTGTTAGCTAGGGATGATGGGAGTTGTAGTCCCAAAACAGCTGGCAGGCCGAGTTTGGGGATGCCTGCCCTATAAGATAACTGAATGTTGGGTTTCAGCTTGGGAGTCTCACACTTCAGTTCTAAAACTAATTTGAAAATCCATTTCATTTCTGTAAGTGAGGCTTATTTTGAAGTATAGCTGTATACTTGTATATCTGAAGGAGTGTCTCCACCCCCATCATTCAGCCTGGACACTGAGATCCAGCTCCAAGGACCTTCTGGTGATTCCCTCACTGTGATAAGTGAATTTACAGGGAACCAGGCAGAGGGCCTTCTTGGTAGTGGCACCCGCCCTGTGGAACGCCCTCTCTTCAGAAGTCAGAGAGATAAAGAACTACACAACTTTTAGAAGACATCTGAAGGCAGCCCTGTATTGGGAAGCTTTTAATGTTTTATTATGTTTTTATATGTGTTGGAAGCTGCCCAGTGTGGCTGGTTTGGGTTCAAATCCTGGCTCTCCAATGACCTTTCATTATGGACTACTTTGGATGTTTTTCCTGTTGGAGAAAGGCTGTGCCCTATGGGTCACCGAAAGTGCACCTTCTTACCCTACATATTGGGCAGGACTGTTCTCCTCTCAATGTATGGGTGTAACATGTATATAAGCTTATATATTAAAAAGCTCAACCCATGTAGACCGAAAGCGCAAATAGATTCAGTTGTGCAATTTGGACCGTTGTGAATTTCAATTGATGCCCATCTGCTCTGTGCAAACTTTTCACCCATAGCTGGACATCTCACACGTGGGGGAAATGTGCCCAGTGGGCAGAGGGAGAAGTCACATGCTTGTGCCCATCCCAAATAACTGATGAGAACATTGTCCAAGCCAGCCCAGGCTCCTAGTTCATCTTAGTTGTGTGGCAAGACCCTCAAGCCGACCCCCCATTAGGATAAATAAATTCACACAGACACGGATATTTTGTTTAAGGTTTTTGGGCAAAAATTTGGCCACAACTTTATTGATTACAGGAATGAGAGTGGTATTGGCTTAGGCATTGGCAAGACTATATCTGACTCCTGTCCCCTTTGCAGGAAGTCTGTAAGGGTAAACCACCCAAAGGGAAACTGCTTTGGGGGAACCAGCCTGCATCTCCCCCAGTGTTCCCAGAGGCCTGGCATGGCCCTCACCCTTCAAGCGGACTTTGGACAGGAACCAGGGCCTGGCTTCCTTTAACAGAATACCCTTGAACCTGGAGGGGCAGGCGATGGCCGACCTGCCCTCCCCCATTCACCATAAGCCAATGCCTAACCGCCAAACCTTAGTTGTGACGGTTGCTAAGAGGTAGGCAAAAACCAAGTGGCCCGTGCCAATTTGCCAATTGGAAAAAATTCCTATCTGGCCCCCGACTCAAGCCGGGCAACCAGTCAAAGTCCAAAGCAAGGCCAAAGGATCTAAATTAAAGGGAGGGTGGGCGGGTGTTCAGCAGCGTGAAGCAGGAGCCTGACACATGTCACGCTGCTGCTTTTATACTTTCCCCCACTATCACCCTTTGACATGATTGGGCAATAGCCCTGGGTGATTGTGGTGCCACCCCGGCATGAGTGTGACAGCTCCACCCACACCAGGGTGGGGGGAACCAGGCTGAGAGCCTGCCCGCAACCAGGACCATCTATTAAGATGATCCCATTTCTCCCCCAGTGAAATGGATAGTTGTTGGATTTCAAAGATGAGGTGACTGTAAATGTTATCTGACAGATACTAGCTGCCGCTGATGAAATTTATTCCATTTCCCGATCCTATCAGAGATCGTTTTCTGACCCATCGAGCACTGAATCCCTGCTTGTACTTAGAGAAGTGGCATCCTGCCATCGAATTACCTAAGTGCCTCCAGGCAACTCTCGCTGTCATCTGGGTATTAAAAACGGACACAAATAACTGGGAAGATTCGGTCCAGTTCCTGGCTTCGTATCCAGCATGCATAGTGCTCTCTGAGCAGCACCAGATCTTAAGTGCTGAAGTTCGTCCAAAGCCCTAACAAAGTTTAAATTGGAGCAATCTGCCAAATGGCATACTTGGTATTGGAAGAATGTGCTGAGAGACAATTACCTCTTTCTCTCTGTTTAAAAGGTCTGTGTCACAGAGGGAGCCTGCAAACTTAAAAGAAGCATCTTAAACACATTATAAAATGGTCTGTTTGCTAGATAGGACCAGCTCCTCTTTCACAGATTATGTTGTAGCTCCACCTGGCAGGAAATTTGGGAATTATCTTGTTAGTATGAAAAGATTACAGCTCAGATTCTGGAAACATGCAGCTCCACTGAGACCACAGAGAAATAGTTTCAGCATTATGGCCCATCGTTTTGCTGTAGTGATTATTTAAAGAGATAGTACTCATCAGCCGGGTGGAGGAGAAGCTCTGGTTGTGGTATGCATATTGTGGGATGTTGGAGAGCTCTGTTCCCCAAAGCTGCATAGCAAAACACTCAGTTAATTTCATGCCGTAAATCAAGCCCTCCTTTCGTGGTATCATGTGAGCCCAAGCATTCTATAGCATAAAATGTACTTATATTCAGGGGAACCCTGCCATTTCCTTTTCTTATTATTTATTGCTTATTCTCTTTCTTTGTGGTATGAGGTAATGCCCTGCTACTACACTTTTGGATTGTGAACAATATTGAAAATAAAAATATATTTACTCAGGAAACCCCAGACAAAATCCCTGCCGCCCCTTTATCCCACTAGCACACGGGGCATGAGACAGTCTTTCAGCCTTACTTGAATATCTTTGAAGTGGGACCATGAACCTATGTGACATCATCCAGTTTTAATTTATTTTTTTCTGGAGCGCAAGTGACTGTTGTCAAGCCCACTACCCAATATGGACTTCTTGTGTTGCAGGACTGTAAGTGCTTTATCTGGCAATCCTAGAATGCATTGCTTCCTCCCCTTGATAGTCTCTGTGTATAAAATCACATAAGAATGCAAAAAGAGCATCTGCTGGATCAGGCCCACAAGCCATCTAGTCCAGCATCCTGTTCTCACAGTGGCCAACCTCTAGATTTTAATTTTATTTTTAATCTAAACGGAAACGTTGAATGCCCCCTGTTAATGTACTGAAGTTCTCACCCTGGGCCAGCAGGGGGATACTGTAGATAGTTATGCAAATGAAGTGACGTTCAGTGATTGGATAGTTTTAGAAAGTTGCTACAGTAACGTTGTACTGGAGCTCTATATAAGCAGCCTGACTGAGCCTCTGAATAAACAAGAGCTGTTTGAAGAATCACTGTGTCATCTGATATGTTCACCCACAACTTAACACCCGCCCCCCCCTGCACATATATAACACCATTTAAAAGTGAGTAGATAGTCCACCTTTGCAGGTATAACCAGTGCTGGTTATTGGTAAGATAAACCTGTGTAATGCCTGCAAAAAATAGCAATCTTCTTGGTAACGGAGACCAGGAAGCGTCATGGAAAAGTAGCTCATAGCCGCTGCCCTTCCCTTCAATGCCTTTTCCAATTTTCATGTCTTTGACTGTAAATTTGATTATAGCTGTGTTGCACTCGTTTTCTCTCTGCTGTTTTCTCTAAGCAACTGCTTTTTAATATAATTTGCTACAGTGCTACATTTTTATTATTAGGATGGTCTGTGGCCAAAAGAAATATAAGTAAATTAATTCATCGTTTTTTTCACATGCTGGCTACAGCCCCCCCCCGCCTCCCACTTTAGCATTATATTTTATTGTACATATTGTCATAATTTCTGCTAGACTTCTTCTACTGTAAACCAATTTTATGTCACTCGGGAGCCTGGATAGCAAACAAGACTTATTGCAATGTGTCTGCATGTGTTTTAATATTGTTTTAATATGTTGCTCTTTTGTTGCTGCAAAGGCAACTGTCTTCTGGCACCTTAAAGACTAACAGATTTATTGCAGCAGAAGTTTTCGCAGACTGGTTTCCACTTCCTCATAACATTACTACTTTTCCTGAGTAGCCTCAAGGGGGCAGTGTCTATTAACTATTGGGGGAAAAATACAGTTCATAAGTATGTTGAACATCTGTCTTGACCAAATGCAACCTATATACGTTCAGCTTTGAGCAATCCCTGCTGAACTCAGTGGTACTTAAGTCTAAATAGATAGTCATGGATTGCATTTTCTAAGGTTGTGTTTTAACACTTCAAGTCCTAAAAATTTCTGCCTTCAGTACCAAAGCAACATTCTTGAAATGCTGGCAGAACTTAGTGGATCATTCACATTGTTCCAACTCTCTGTCTTTTTCCCCCAATCCTTTCTTTTCTACTCTGTCCATCTTTTTCCGTTTTTCCTCCTCTCCCTGCTTGCCTAAAGGTGATCTTTTTTACACACAATGGGTAAACAGGCAAACAGAAATGTCAAAGTCTACAGGCAGGCAAAGAAGAAGAACCTCACAACTTTTCTCTTGTGTCTCCATTGTGCAGTGCCCCAGCAAAACATATGACCCATCCATCAAGTCCACCAGAGATTTTCCTGACGATGTCATTAGCTTCATAAAACGCCATCCGGTGATGTACAAATCCGTCTACCCAGTAACCGGAGCGCCGGTGTTTTCCCAAATCAATGTGGACTACAGACTGACGCAGATTGTGGTGGATCGTGTCATGGCTGAAGATGGCCAGTATGACGTCATGTTCTTAGGGACAGGTGAGATGCATGACGTTGGCTCCTCTGTTTCCCATAGAGACTTCCTTCTTCCTGCAAAATGCCCTTTGCATGTATTCCACACACATGGAACAATGTTGCGTATATGGATCATTGTCTGGGGATTGCCTTGGGATTGCGAAAGACTTTGCCCCCCTTTCTTAACCCTGGAGCAAGAACATTTGCTCTTCGGGGCAGAGTATGTGCCTTAGTCAGATTGTGGACCAAGTCCATTGGCTGTGCACCATCTCACACAGGGCCAGATTTAGGTTTGATGAGGCCCTAAGCTACTGGAAGTAATGGGGCCCTTTATATGTCCAGCTGTCCTGGATCAACAACAAATTGTCGCTGTTTTTAGTGTTGAATATATGCTATATGGTAATTTATGAACCTACACAACACAAGGGATACGGGTGGCCCAGTGGTCTAAACCACAGAGCCTAGGGCTTGCCGATCAGAAGGTCGGTGGTTCGAATCCCTGCAACATTGCTCGGTCCCAGCTCCTGCCAACCTAGCAGTTTGAAAGCACGTCAAAGTGCAAGTAGATAAATAGGTACCTCTCTGGCGAGAAGGTAAATGGCGTTTCTGTGTGCTGCTCTGGTTCGCCAGAAGTGGCTTAGTCATGGTGACCACATGACCAGAAAGCTGTACACCGGCTCCTTCAGCCAGCACAGCGAGATGAGCTTCAACCCCAGAGTCATCCACAACTGGACCTAACGGTCAGGGGTCCCTTTACCTTTACACAACACAAAGCACTTTTGCTGTATGTAGGTTTTATTTTATTTGTTTTTTATCTTATATTTTGGAAATATACATCCAGTGGTTTTTTTCTTTAATTTTTTTTGGGCCCCCCCAAAGAGAGCGGGGCCCTAAGCTATAGCTTGTTTAGCTCATACGTAAATCCGGCACTGGTCTCATAATGAGGATGGCTGCAACTGAAAAATACCCGAAGCAGGTTTGGAGTAGGAGATATGGTTGTCATGCATAAACCCTCACTGCAGATCCAGTTGTCTCACTGGAAAGATTCTAGAGTGTTTACACTGAGGCTAAATCTGCTCCTTCTGGTGATAGGCAGAAATGGAGTGGCGGAGGAAGCCGCTCAGGTGCCCATAGGGGCGGGGCGCAGTGCGGGGCCTCTGGAGTCATCCTGCCTCCTCCCGCTTAGCCGCTTAACCAATTAACAGAAACTGAACACGCCCTACAGCTGGGGGGGAGGCAGTGGGCAGACCGTTTGGTCAGCGCAGAGCCTGCGCACGCCCAGGAGAGATGCATGGCTCGGGCGCGCTGCAGGCCCTGCGGTGAGTGCTGCCTGGCATGTTGTCACCCCCTCAGTGGTGACACCCAGGGCGGCCTGCACCCACCGCCCCCCCTTCCTCTGCCCCTGCAGAAATGCCAAGGCATTTGGAACAGGTGCCTATCTGCAGATAAGTGCAAGGCTGCTCCCTCCATTTGAAGCCTGCTGAGTAAAGTGGTACCTCGGGTTACATACGCTTCAGGTTACAGCCTCCGCTAACCCAGAAAAAGTGCTTCAGGTTAAGAACTTTGCTTCAGGGTGAGAACAGAAATCGTGCAGTGGCGGCACTGCGGCAGCAGGAGGCCCCATTAGCTAAAGTGGTGCTTCAGGTTAAGAACAGACCTCCGGAATGAATTAAGTTCTTAATCCGAGGTATCACTGTACTTCCACATTTCTGCTTGTTTCCTCACTGCATAGCAGCAACTCTCTGTGGTCAAAATATGAACCATGCTTTTGTTTTCTTTAGCCATGGTTAAGGCCTGGTCACCAACCAGGATGTGAAATCAAGGCCTGAAAGTGGGTTTGCAAACCATTGTTTGCATAACGCATGGTTAATTTTTATATCTGCATTACGCAAATTGTGGTTAAGTCAGTTTCCCCCCTTTCCTGGTCTCTCTGCTTGCAAAATGATAAAACAGGTCATGTTACTATATCCTGATATATATTTTTCAGGGGCAGGACTTTGCTCAGGAAGTTAAACCAATGTACCATAGTACCTTTGGGGCCTTAATCAGGGTTAAGGCAACCAACTATGGTTAGTGCTAATGATGGTTGAATGAATTATGTCTGCACCAGGCCAACGTGTGAAAAAACTATCATTATTCAGTGTTGCTCTTCATTGAAATAGTTTTTTTTGGCAGGTTATAGCACAAAATGTAGTCAGTAGATGGCAGTCCAGAATTTCAGCAGACAGAAGAGTACTGCCTGCAGTATCTAAATTGTTGAAAATTGAGCTTCCTAAGGGAAGCATGACATTTTTATTTTATTTTACAAATTTAAAACCTGCCTTTTACAAAGTCATGTTAAAGACAGACTTCACTGCTTGCTTATTTCTGTGTATTGGATTGCATAGTTAGTCTCTTTTTCTGTTTACCTACCATAAGTAAGATTGTGGGAAAAGTTAGTTTAGTCAATAAAGTAAATTCTGCAGTATTTTAAACATGTTGCAATAAGTGATTCAGCTCACTAAGACTTTTTCCAGCCTTGTTTTCCAGTCACTCAATTCCAGGATCTTTTGTTTGTTTAATCACTGCCATATGCATGTCCCATGTGTAGCCTTGGAGTAGAACAAAATGAGAAGGGATTTTTCCCCCTTTTCTTTTGGAAATAACACAGGACTATTGATTGCAATGGCATTGGTTTTGCTGTTTGTTTGCTTAATGCTTCACAATGCAGAGCGCGAGGCTGTGGTTACTCAGTGCTCAGGAAAGATACTTCGTGCATGCTCAGAGCTACTAAATAGTTCCAAGACATGAAATCTGGTGAGATGAGACCTGAACTAAATCAACTGATTTTCTGTTTGTACTCAACGCTACAACACTCTTGTAGTTTAAGGTCATAGTTCACGGTCCTCATTTCAAATTTGTGAAAACAAAGCCATTGTAGAATTATTTTCCAAATGCTAAACCAGTGACTTCAAGATGCCATGAATTTGACTTGGATAAATTTATTCGAACACATACCTTGTAGAGATGCTGCGTGGTGAAATTATCATGGATTCCAGATACAGTTTTTTCCACATTGCATGTGCTACAAGAGCTTGTGATTATTTAAGGGTGGTCAATTCAACATGACCATTGGCATGGGGCTCCTGCAGGAAATGGCAATCCCATATCAAGTTCTTTGTCTCCATCCTTGGCATTTAGGTAGATGTACATTTCTTGTTTCCTAGCCAGTGGCAGAGAGTCGTATAGTGAAAAGGGAGTTTCGGTGCTTTTTTCTGGGGGGGGGGGACACAGGGGTACGCATACCCCTAAACATTTTGTGAATCTAAGTCTGGCCTCATTGAGGGGCAGTATTTCAATATGAGTAGGAAAATGAGAGTAACCCTAAACATTTTTTTTTTTTAGAAAAAAAGCACTGGGGAGATTCATGGAGCAAAGGCATCATAATGTGTGTCTGCTTAAAAAAATGAGAGAGAGAATCAATTGAGGAGGTCTGCACTCAGTTAGGTGCCATATCTAAAGAAGATGGAAAATCTTAATGTAAAATCCAAAAATGGCCACTGATTTTCGACTGTGTCCCTTTCTTGCAGATGTCGGAACAGTACTGAAAGTTCTGAGTATAACCAAGGAGAAGCGAGACATGGAGGAAGTGGTCTTGGAAGAGCTGCAGATATTCAAGGTAAGATTACAAGCCTCATCGATTGCAACACAATTCACAGAATCACAGAATTGCAGGGTTGGAAGAGACCACAAAGGTCATTTAGTCCAACCCCCTGCAATGCAGGAATCTTTTGCCTAAGGCAACCCTGAGATTAAGAATTTCATGCTCTGCCAACTGAGCTCTTTCAGAAGGGCAACTGAAGGAAAATAAAGCTCAATGGATTTCATTCTTCAGAAAGAATCATTTTGGGACGGCATAAAATCTTCATTTTGTGTTCCTCAAGAATAAGTCACTCACATCGGTCACCTGGAGAAAATTCTAGGATCTGCTGAAGTTTAATTAAGAATTCTGTATGCTTTTTTAAACTAAGGAATTATGGTGAAAAGAAACTTAAATGCTTATAACAGAATTGCCACAGAAAGTGAAGTGAAATATGAGGTGAATTTGGAGGTTCCTGCTTGGGCAAAACATCTGCATTGATTTCAACATCAGATTAGCAAAATTTCTTGGTTTTTTGCAGCCTGGGGTAGGCTAGGTGAGGAAGGAAAAGGCACACACCTCAAATAGCAGTTTTTGCTCTTGGCCCATAACTATGATGGAATTAGATGTTCTTCATTTACCATGATTCTTAGAGAGCCGGCTTTAGGTCCAACCTTTGGCTTTCCTGCAATGGTCTGGTGGCTTTGAAATCATCCTTGATGCCCTTGCCTTACACGTCTGTGGAAAACAATATTTTCTCCAGGTAACTCTCTCCCTGTGCACTTGGTACCTTGATTACAGAGGTGGAATACTTCTTATTTAAAATGTCATCTTTTTGCTGCCATGGAGGCCAAGAGTGCTCAACAGGCTGCCAAGTAATCAGGAATTTCCGAGCATGTACCAATTTGCTGCATACTTGGGAGATCACGTCAAAGGGAAAGGCGCCATATCAGATTTAATACCAAACAGGGCTATTAGCTCAGCAGATGTTCCTCCATGTTATAAATGCACTTCTTATTTTTTTCATGCGAGGAAAAAAATTAGAAAGAGAGAAGGGACTGTAGTTTATTTACATGTTTAAGAAGCCACACCAGAATGATGTCATTGGATGTTGGGGTTTCCAAGAGCCAGCCCTTGTGACGACTTTGCAGGTGGTGGACGCTTTCCTGCCTTCAGCCTCCTCTGCAGTCATCTATATGGTTTGCCCTGAGGGAATAGTTGCTCCCTTCCCTGGCCCCATTCAACACAAGGCAGCACTCACAAGCCCTGAAGAGTGGCTGCATCAGGTGGTGGTTGCAGATCCAGCATAACGGGCATAATATTGTAGTGTTTGACATCTCATGCCACCCAGTTGCTTTCCATGGAAGCCCCTCATGGGCTCAGTTGGCAACCCTTCAATTGAGATTCTTGGTCAGGAGAACCTCAAGTTATGGCTGGGTTGTGAAGCTTCTTGACTGACCAGGAACATTTCACAGTCCCTTGCCCTAATCTGCTTCATGAGATTGTTTCTGGAGTAGAGAACTATCCTTTGAAGGAAGACCATGATGCAATTGAGACAAACAAATAATGACAAAGTGATGGAGAGATATAAGACTTGTACCAAAGAGTCTGTCTACTCAGGCCATTCTGCCCACTTCCATTTCACAGTACATAGGGAAAATACCTCTTTATAAAAAGTTAGAATGTAGCACATGGAATTTATCTTGTTGCTGGTTCACATTCCCCCCCCCCATGTATTTGTTTATTTAACTTATATACTGCTTAACATTTTGAGAGGAAAATTCTAAGCAGTTTACAAGTACCATAAAATATGACAAATGAAAACCATAAAAACGGCAAATACATTAGGGGCCCGCACTTGTAGTGACTGTGTGAGGCCCGAATCAGCCCATGACCTCTGTGACTTACAGAGGAGCCAAGTGAATCCGTACGTTCCGAAACACCCTGTATGGATGCCCACCCTCTTTATGTGTGGAAAACCTGCGAGATGGGTATCACAGAGGCACAGGCGTTTGACATTTTTGGCACTCCCGGACAGGAGAAGAAGAGGCTGTGGAATGTGTGTCATTCTTTCCTGTCTTTCCAGCACTATATTCCTGTCTGCTTTCCCTCAGCGGATCAGAAGAAACCTGAGGGCTGTGTGCAGTATGAATCGCGTAGTGTTCAAGGGAGCCTTGCTCAGATACTTCTCTTTGAGCACATTTTCCAGGAAGGTTGGCCTTCACAGCTGCAGTTGATCCATTGCAATGGCTATGTTAGAGTTAAAGCTATGGTTTTCCCAGTAGTGATGTACGGAAGTGAGAGCTGGACCATAAAGAAGGCTGATCGCCAAAGAATTGATGCTTTTGAATTGTGGTGCTGGAGGAGACTCTTGAGAGTCCCATGGACTGCAAGAAGATCAAACCTCTCCATTCTGAAGGAAATCAGCCCTGAGTGCTCACTGGAAGGACAGATCCTGAAGCTGAGACTCCAATACTTTGGCCACCTCATGAGAAGAGAAGACTCCCTGGAAAAGCCCCTGATGTTGGGAAAGATGGAGGGCACAAGGAGAAGGGGACGGCCGAGGATGAGATGGTTGGACGGTGTTCTCGAAGCTACAAACATGAGTCTGACCAAACTGCGGGAGGCAGTGGAAGACAGGAGTGCCTGGCGTGCTCTGGTCCATGGGGTCACGAAGAGTCGGACACGGCTAAACGACTAAACAACATGTTAGAGCTCGGAAAGGTGTGATGCTTGGAGTGTTGGACTTAAGACACGGAAACACAGCTCCAAATCCCCGCTGAGTCCCAAAGTCAGAAGTACGCCCTGTTTTCTTCTCGGGGGAGACAAATGAGTTTCCATTCCTGTCACAGGTGAATTCATCCCAGGCTGAAAGTCTCAGAATATTTTGGTTTCTAGGGAAGTACTATTTCAAACACTTAAGTAAAATTGCAAAGGGTTTTGGCTACTGGCCTCCTGCTGGTGGAGCAACAAATGTTTGATAGTCTTCAATATAAGCAGAAGAAGGATTTTCATTGGGTTTTTTTCCATTTCCTTTTCAGCATCCCTCACCCATCTTGACTATGGAGATGTCCCCAAAGCAGGTAATTTATAATTAGCAATTTTAGCACCTGCAAATTGCTTGTACATTATTGGAGATAACTATACCAGTTTTTCAAAGAGGGCATCTAAACATTTTCTATCCTAATATTTCCATTTCTTTCTTTTTCTTGAAGCATACAAAAAAAGTCACACCCTAGCCAGTCTTCTCTAACCACTCACATTCAATATCAGAATACTTATTTAGTTCTGAAATACATTCCTGTATCTATAAAAAGAAAAAAAGTATAAAAGGGGGGGAAAGGGGGGTGAAGTAATGTTTGTTCTGTTCTTTTATTTCCCAAACGCATGAGTTGCACTGAAGTACCACTGAAGTACCACTGAAATTAAATTAGTCAGTGATTTTACAGTCCTGTGAAACTCTACTTGGAAGTAAATCTCATTGTGTTCATTCAGGCTTGCTCCTTAATAAGTGCGCGGTCAGGATTACAGCCTCAATAGAACTACAATGACCTTCCTCTGATTTAGGTAACTCACTCCAGTCCATATTGATAGAGCTCATGAAAAAAAATCCCATTTCTATAGGTTTCTCAGGCAAAGATGTATTTTAATTAGATTGTACCAAACCTGTGTTCCAATTTCCCAAGTGTTTTCTTCCCCATTAAATAACTTTCAAATTTTCTGCCTCATTTGCAGGGCACATTCAGAATTTGGGTGGGTGTAGAGTTGATCTTATTCTATTGCCGCAAAGTAAATAAGGCTGATGCCCACACTTTCTGATCTGAAAAAGGTCCCATGCAATGAGTTGCCACATGCCATCTTCCCCTGGGCTTAAATTGAAGGGAGAGAAGCTGAGGAGGAGACTAGCCACCAATTGCCAGAGACTGGTGTGAGCTCACGGGTTTTGCTTTTAAGAGAGATCCTTGTTCCTTCCCTTAATGTTCCCTAAACACCCTCAACCCAGTACAGTGGTGCCCCGCAAGACGAATGCCTCGCAAGACGGAAAACTTGCTAGATGAAAGAGTTTTCCGTTTTGGAGGTGCTTCGCAAAACGAATCTCCTATGGGCTTGCTTCGCAAGACGACAATGTCTTGCGAGTTCCTGCTGGTTCCCCCCCTTTTTCTAAGCCTCTAAGCCGCTTATCAGCTGATCCGATCAGCAGATAAGCTGCTAAAAGCCGCTAATAGCGCTAATCTGCTAATCCTTCAATGGGCTTGCTTCGCAAGACAAAAAAACCGCTAGACGAAGAGAATCACAGAACGGATTCTTTTCGTCTTGAGAGGCACCACTGTATACCTGAAGAAGCATCTCCACCTCCATCGTTCAGTCCGGACACTGAGGTCCAGCTCCAAGGGCCTTCTGGTGGTTCCCTCCCTGCGAGAAGTGAGGTTACAGGGAACCAGGCAGAAGGTCTTCTCGATAGTGGCACCCACCCTGTGGAATGCCCTTCTGTTAGATGTCAAGGAAATAAACAACTATCTGACTTTTAGAAGACATCTAAAGTTTAGTGAAGTTTGATGTTTTATTCTGTTTTTAATCTGTTGGGAGCCACCCAGAGTGGCTGAGGAAACCCAGACGGATGGGTGGGGTATAAATTATTATTATTATTATTATTATTATTATTATTATTATTAAAACAAAAAAACTTTCCACACATGTAGCTTTCATGCAGTGATTCCTTTCAAAGTAAAAGGCCTTCCCTTTTTTAAAAAATGACAACAAACAGCTGTCAGGCAGGTGTTAGGCATCTCTGAGCGTAGCGAAGGACGTCATGGGTTTTCACAAAGCTTGCAGACCCAGGAAGGCGGCAGAGTGAAGACCACCAGAGAAATGATTTGGAGCATGAATGAAACAGTACTCACAAATGCCCCTTAGCTATCTCAAAAGTAAAGTAACCGCAACAAAACCCCACATTCCACCCATGAAATTTTTTTGCTCCAGTCTGATAATTTTCAGATGCAATTTCACTTATTAATTGAAAGGGTTTTGTTTTGTTTTTAAGGAAGGGATTTTTTGACACAGCTCTGGTTTTAAGCTAGTATTGTAGTCAGCTTCATAGCTCACATCTCTCTGTGAATGGAATTATGGAATTCAATACTAGTATGTGTTTTAGAACTTTTATACCGTTTTCAATATGCTACCTGCACTGGATCTTTGATGTGGACTTGAGAGCCAGTGTAATAAGACTGGCAATGTTATGTCTACTTGGGTTGATTTCAGCTCAGATTGTTCTTGCAACTTACTTGGAGAAGCAATGATTGCCGTCTATATCAGACTGGCTGAGGAAAGCCAACTAAATAGACCCTGCTCTAAAAACTTGGAGATTAACTGCGCAGAGAGATTACTTGGACAAACAGAGTTTGTTCACTGATTACCAGAACATAAATTGCATTTGCTGTATAAATTTGTAAGGATTGTATAAAAATAGAAATTTTTAAATGAAAAATTGCTCAGAAGGAAATCAAGCCCAAAAGAAAAAGAGGTTTCTTGAAGAACGCTTCTAATTCATTTGCCTCGCCTGATTTTCAGCAACAATTGTACATTGGTTCCAGAGATGGATTGGCTCAGCTCTCGCTACACAGATGTCACACATATGGCAAGGCTTGTGCAGACTGCTGCCTTGCCAGAGACCCCTATTGTGCTTGGGATGGAAATTCATGCTCCAGATACACACCAACATCTAAAAGGTGAGTGATATCGTTCCTTCTTTGACCGAGCATCTAAGAGCAGCTTCTTACGTGATCCCCATGATTTAATGCAGAGCTACTCCTTCCCACACTGCTGGGTTAACCTGTGAAGCTCTGGACTCTATGGGATGAGTTCAAGGCTGGCATTGGAGATGGAGGACACCAGAGCTTCCCCATGGATCCTCTGGTACCATCTGCTCTGCTAGTTCATGTACAGGTAATCTGTGTAGGGTTAACTAAGCTTCACTCAGAGTAGACCAATTGCAATTAATAGACCTCACTTAGTCACGTGGCGCTGTGGGTTAAACCACAGAGCCTAGGACTTGCTGATCAGAAGGTCGGTGGTTCGAATCCCCGCATGGGGGTGAGCTCCCAGTTGCTCGGTCCCTGCTCCTGCCCACCTAGCAATTCGAAAGCACGTCAAAGTGCAAGTAGATAAATAGGTACTGCTCCGGCGGGAAGATAAACAGCTTTTCCGTGCAATGCTCTGGGTTTGCCAGAAGCGGGTTAGTCATGCTGGTCACATGACCCGGAAGCTGTACGCCGGCTCCCTCCGCCAATAAAGCGAGATGAGCGCCGCAACCCCGGAGTCGGTCACGACTGGACCTAATGGTCAGGGGTCCCTTTACCTTTAGTCACGTTCATTGATTTCAACAGCTGCACTCGGGGTAAAACTTAGTTAAATAACCCCCCACACACAGATGTTTCCAGGATGTCAGCAGGAGGAATCTTTGAATACTGTTACGTGTTACCTAACCTCTGAACAGTGGAAACATTTCAGGGACACCAGTACATATGTTGGGCTTGACGTCCTTGGAATTAAGGTCCCAGGGTTGTTGGCACCTGTCTCAAGATACAGTGGAGTGTGCCTCCAGGGGTGAAGTGAAGCATCTGGAGAATCACAGTGCCCGCTGTGGCTGCAGAGACTAGAAATGCTTAACTGCTGCCTCCTGCATTGTTTTTTGCTGTGTTAGCAGCACCAAAGTGACTTCCCTGGGGTGCAAGCCTAGGCCGTGTGTCTGGAGGTCCTGGGCTGCTCAGTGCACAGCCATTAAAAGGTATTGTGTTCAGGCAATACATCTGGGACCTGAAACAAGCTTTTGCTGTGTGGGATGCTGCTCTTTGGGATTCCAGGAGCTCCATTCCATTCCATTTTCTCTTCCCTCTGCCCCAGATTTCTGGGTATTCCTTACGCCACCCCACAAAGGTGGGTCAGGATTCAGGAGCACACCCAGTTCTCACTGGAATGTTTTCTAGGTTTCCTACTTCCATAGGCTTCCCCCCATCCAGCCACTTTTGCATTTCTGCCAGGCTTGGAGTACCCCGAGGCCTGTTGCTACCTGCCTGATTCTTATGGGTGCATGGTGCTTATTTGGTTATGGAAGAAGCAACACTCGCAGCCTGAACACCAGAAAGAAAAGGAAAGTTGACTGTGACTATAATATCAGTGATGCCTTATTCATATATGTAATGTGATGTTACTTTCTCCAAATGAGCAACTTCTCTTAAGCTCCATCCCACATCCGAAGAACAGCAGGCGTAATTTCACAAAGTCATGACAACTTTTATTTTTCCAGGCGTGCAAGGAGGCAAGACGTCAAATATGGAGACCCAGCTACCCAGTGCGGTGATACAGAAGATAGTAAGTATCTGCATCTTTGTCTCCAAAAAGATAGGTGAGGGGCCTAAGGAAATGATGTGCTCAGCTCTTGCAAGGCCTGGTTTCTGAGTAGATGATGCTCAGATACCAGAAGTGTAGCCAGGTTGTGGTGACTCTGTGTAGACCAAAATGCATTTACTTCTTAGATTCAAGGGCTGAATTAGAGTATTGGAAACAACATCTGGCTTACATTCCTTGATAGATGGCATGCACAAGCAGATCTGTAAGCAGCGCCCTCAGTGCTAATAGACCGAGTAAGCCTCTTGAGAGTTAGTCTAGGACTATAGTGAGGGGTCCATAGATGTGCTGCATCATGTGAAGTGATGCAACCTGGAGGCAAAACAGAAATACAGAAAAAGCAGAGGATACCCTTGCAGGCAGAGAACTCATTACAAGTAACTTGCACTATGCACGCTTTTCATTTGTGCACACAAAAAATTAGAAAGAGGGCAGGTGTCTGGGGAAGAAAGACTTTTGCAATCCCACCTGCCATTGAAGCCAATTTGTTCTGACTAGAGACGATTTTGGCTCTATGCCGTGTAGGTTGAGAGTCTCCTGTATTCCTTTCTTATGCCTTCACCAGGAGTAGAAATAGTTAACAGGGAAGTCTGTGGAAGTCTGGGAAGCAACTTGGGGCAAATATGCCCCCCCCCCAAAAAAAAGAATAGCAGGTCTGGTTGGCTGGTTCTAACAATGAGCTAGTTGGACTCTCTGCAACCCTTCAAGAAACACAAAGAAAGGAATAGTTCTGGAGATGACGACCATGGAAGAGTTAATTGGTGTCTATGCAAGTACTATAACTGAACGTGAGAGGAACGCTACAGCTTTCCAAGAGCAACGCAGGAGGTCGGCTTAGGCAAGTGAGCCAAATAAGCAGAATTCCCCCAAGGAAAACTGAGGAAGCACACTTTTTTCCATTCCCTTGGCTTATTTCCACAGAGCAAAGATCTAGCATCTTAGTTCCAGCTATCAAGCTATCCAGGCCTTCTTCTAATTCTTCCTTGCTAATTAAACAATCCTCTTCTTAACAACGGCCTACTGTCTCCCACCACTATGGACACTGATGGACATTGCCAAGTGGTCTGGCTTACTCCCCTGGCAACTGGTACTGCTGTCTTGTGGTTAAGATGAAATTTCTGTGACAACGTAACGTAACGTTTTAAATGTTCAACAGGGTATTTTGTTTTCCTTTCTTAAACAAAACAATAGGGTCCCCTGCCCGAACACACATTTGGTTTATTATTTGATCCAGGAAGCGCAACTGTTTTCAATTGCTCCTCAGTTATTTCAGTTAGAGCTCTGTTGTAAACTAAAATTAAGGGCCATCAAATGGACCCGAGTACAGACAGGGTGAATGAGGGCTGCAGCTTTCTGTGCTGCTACTTTGAGAGTGTAAGCAGTGACCCAAGGAAACAATAAGTTCTCTTTCTGGAATGAGCCAGTTGACTTTGTCCTGTAGACTGATAGGAGTTGAGACAAAATAAAGCACCCTGCAGTTATGGACTGTGGGAATGGAATTCCTCATATAAGAGCCACATTTAACGTCTTCTGATCTGCATGGTGCAGGTTTTGTTCATGGCTGTATGTGGGCCTGTTCTTTTCACCTTGGCCTTTGCCCAGAGACTTGGCTTAGATGGAAGCTGCAGGTATGGCTCTCTAAGCTGCCCCAGTGGGAGACATCTAGGAAGCAGGTTTTTACTCCCTCCTCATTTTCCCAAATGGGGAGAAGTTCCAGGCAAAAAGTATTTAAGCAAGTTTGGTTGCATTTGGAAGGATGCCGCAGGAAGCTTATGGCATTTTGCAATATTTGTGTTTATTTACAAATTTATGCAAGCAGAGCATTGATGGAGGGCTAGAAAGACATGTCATTTTCTCCCACCCTCGCTTAGTTTGCCTGCTCCCTTTGGTTGGAGGGATGGAATCAGGATGAAGAAGGCAACTGTTCCCTAGTGTAATGGAATTGTAGTTGCTTGTGTGTAAGCCACCAACTGCTCCAAACTGCTTGGGTGGTTAAACCTTTCCCTGGCTGGAGAGCCCTCCTGCGCAGCTGCTTCAGTCGCTGCTTTATTGGCCAAGAGAGCCAATAAACAGCTTCTGGGTCACGTGGCCAGCATGACTAAGCCGCTTCTGGCAAACCAGAGCAGCGCACGGAAACACCGTTTACCTTCCCGCTGGAGCGGTACCTATTTATCTACTTGCACTTTGATGTGCTTTTCAACTGCTAGGTTGGCAGGAGCAGGGACTGAGCAACGGGAGCTCACCCCGTTGTGGGGATTCGAACCGCTGACCTTCTGATCGGCAAGTCCTAGGCTCTGTGGTTTAACCCACAGGGCCACCCGCATCCCTCCCTAGCCTTACTCAGCCTGAAATATCCCTAATAGAGAAATGCGTCTGGCAACATTGCCCCTGACTGTTAATGGAAGTCTGCAGCAGAACATCTGGATCTGTTAACATCCTCCTGTACAAACTCAAAATCTTACAACACCATGTGACCATGGGGAGTTCTTGAAGGAATAACGGGGTGGAAGGTGAAGTCAAGGCATGTCAAGCCTTGTGCCCAGGGTGGGCTTCTTCCACCACAATGGTAGCAGGGAGATATCCCAAAAGTTTCAGCGTATCCATTGCTATATCCTGTGATTCAGATCAGATGGAACTCAAGGCTGGTTCCAATCACTCTCCAGTGTCCTGACTGTGTGCATTCACACCCAGAGCAGAAAACCCCCCACAGATTCCTGGCCCTGAGTCCCTCTTCCGTCTAAGGCTTGTTGTTGAATCATACATCACTTCGGAGAGTTCTGCCAGACACTCCTGGTCTGTGTTTATAGATTTACAGTGGTACCTTGGGTTAAGAACTTAATTCGTTCTGGAGGTCCATTCTTAACCTGAATCTGTTCTTAACCTGAGGTACCACTTTAGCTAATGGGGCCTCCCGCTGCTGCTGCGCCACCATCGCACAATTTCTGTTCTCATCCTGAAGCAAAGTTCTTAACCCAGGGTGCTATTTCGGGGATAGCAGAGTCTGTAACCTGAAGCGTCTGTAACCTAAAGCATCTGTAACCTGAGGTACCACTGTTCCTCCTCCAGGTAACCTTGAATGACTTAAGCTGAAAAAAGTTTGCATTTATTTATTAGTTATCTTTCTAGTTATGTTTGTTAAGAAGTACATTTATTATTTGTGAGCTGCTTCAGAAAGTCTAAGATTTCTCCCAGGGAAGGAACTTAGTTCTGGGATGGGTACCCCAAATTTGGAGGGGGGCAAATTTAGAGTTCAGGTTCCAGATGATGTCCCTGGCAGCTTTGCCTCTAAGGAAGTCTGTAGCACTCCTTCTCCTGGAGCTAGCTGCCAGTCAGCAAGGTCACTGTATCCTCCTCACGGTTCCCAGTCTCATTAAATAGAGAAGAATTCCTCTAAAAGGCTATACATCAGATTCTGATTCCATCAGTGGTTTAATTGAAAGGAAGTGACCAATTCAGCCTTAAATAGCACTGTTATACACCGTTATGCACCAGGTTGAACCATCGTGTGTTGTGCTAAACCTGAGGTGCCTCTTGTTTCCCATCGCAGTCCATGCGCTGCTCTACCATCTGTTCTGCATCAGCTATGTTTTCCCTTCACTTTAAGAAATCAGGGCAGGGTTAATCTTCTGTACCATGTTTGCGTTCCAGGCATTAGTCATGAAACCACTGATGAAAAGGTGATTTTTGGCATCGAATTTAATTCGACGTTCCTAGAATGTATACCAAAGTCCCAGCAAGCCTCCATCAGGTGGTTCATTCAACGCTCTGGAGAAGATCACGAGGAAGAGGTAAGATACCATCATTAAGAATGTATTTTCCCTCTGGAAAACTTCTAATTCCGTGGTCAAAGGCAGGGGTTAATAGAACGAACAAATATTGTCTCCCTTGCCACAGCTCACATACTTGGGAATGCGCCAATAATATCACAATGGAATATCAAGACCGAGAAGGCAATCTCTGCAATTAGCAGCCTTCCTTTTAACATTACGCATGGAGTTTTGGATATTCACTGTAATGTTTGCACGCACTGCAATTCTTCCATCCAGGCTAAATGCTGGGCTCATCACAGGAACCACGTATAAGTCATGTTCAAACAAATCATGCAGAGATGACTGAAAACGGTCACAGAGATGCTGGCCACCTTTCTCCATTCATTGTTTATCTGTGCACACATCTCCTCTGGAAACTCCTTTTCCCCAGGGGTTGGGAGGGGGAGAAGCACAGACAATTAACCTCTCAAGAGATGAGCATAGATAAACAACAGAAGCTGAAAGAAAGGCTTTTGATCCCCTGCGGCTTTCACTGCTGGTCTCTGGGGAGCCTCTGAAACTCTGAGCAGTTGGAACCTGGCTTACTTTTTACGCAATGAGCATACCATTTAGTGATGTTAAATTCTCGAGAATAATCTTTTGGAGAATAGTCTCGAGAATATTCTCCAAAAGATTATTCTCGAGAATTTAACATCGCTAAGCCCATCTCATAACATAAAGCATGTATTCAGTATTCATACAATCATGTCCTTGCCTACTGTAAACCTATCAAAAGATCAAAAATTCTCATGGTGCTTTTGGAAAACATGCAGAGGCAGACTTTGGGGGATCTGCAAGGCAAAGCGTTCAGCAGAGGGTTTTGTTTTGTTTTGTTTTACAGTTGAGGGGAAACCATCAAGAGTATCTTACTGTGTTCCTCTGTGGTACATTGCAAAGAAATAATAATGTGCAGATGATGTTCTTGGGTGATCTTAGAAGTTATGATGGATCATGATGGAACCTGTATTCAGACCTTTAGACCCTGAATTACCGGTGTGCATTTGTGTGCTCCTAGGTGTGTGTGTGGGTGTGTGTGTGTCTGTATGCATTTAATAATTTATCAACATAATTCCATAAAATAAACTCTATTGCCATGTATAGAATGGGATGGAAAGTACAGCAGAGATGGATCCTTTGCTCCTCCCCCTTTTTTAATTCTGCTGGCTAAGCACTCTAATAATTGGTATTGCACAGCAAATGAGAAGAGAAGTAGGCATCGTTTGCACATCTGGAGCTGTCTTAGACTGAGCTCGACTAATTCAAACAATCAACCAACCAAATCTTTATTACAATCATTACCAGCTAGAATAATTATACATCTGGCCCAGCATTATCTGTCCTGGCTACCCACACCTCTCCAAATTCTCAAGTAGGAGTGCTTCCTAATGCTGCTTTCTGAGATCCTTTTAAATGCTGATGTCTGTGATCCAAACTGGGATTTAGCCCCTGCCACCTGTGTTCTGCTGTGGAGCTATGGCACACAACCATCAAGGAATTTAAAAGGAGTAAAGTTGGGTCTGGGACGCGGGTGGCGCTCTGGGTAAAAGCCTCAGTGCCTAGGGCTTGCCGATCGAAAGGTTGGCGGTTCGAATCCCCGTGGCGGGGTGCGCTCCCGCTGCTCGGTCCCAGCGCCTGCCAACCTAGCAGTTCGAAAGCACCCTTAAGTGCAAGTAGATAAATAGGGACCGCTTACTGGCGGGAAGGTAAACGGCATTTCCGTGTGCAGCTCTGGCTCGCCAGATGCAGCTTTGTCACGCTGGCCACGTGACCCAGAAGTGTCTCCGGACAGCGCTGGCCCCTGGCCTCTTAAGTGAGATGGGCGCACAACCCCAGAGTCTGTCAAGACTGGCCCGTATGGGCAGGGGTACCTTTACCTTTAAAGTTGGGTCTGGACTTAGGAAGCAAAGAGCCTATCTGTCTTTAGAACTTAACCAGCACTGATTGGTAGTTTCTGCGCTACAATGTGTAATAGGGAACACAACAATGCCTGAAATCAGTATTTAAAAATAAAATAAAAGCATATTGCTGGTAAATTCTGATGCAATGGGCTGTCCAGCAGGAGACTGTGGCATTTTCACAATGTTTGGCTGAGCACTCTTAATCCCTATAGTTGTAGAAATACATTAAAAAGGTAAAGGACCCCTGACAGTTAAATCCAGTCACGAACGACTCTGGGGTTGCGGCACTTATCTCGCTTTATTGGCTGAGGGAGCTGGCATTTGTCCACAGACAGTTTTTCCGTGTCATGTGGCCAGCATGACTAAGCCGCTTCTGGTGCAACGGAACACCGAAACCAGAGCAGTGCACAGAAACGCAATTTACCTTCCTGCCGGAGTGGTACCTATTTATCTACTTGCACTTTTTGGCATGCTTTCAAACTGCTAGGATAGCAGGAGCAGGGACTGAGCAATGGGAGCTCACCCTATCAAGGGGATTGGAACCGCCAACCTTCCGATCGGCAAGCCCAAGGCTCAGTGGTTTACACCACAGTGCCACCTGCGTCCCCACAAATACATTAAAGGTAAAGGTAAAGGGACCCCTGACCATTAGGTCCAGTCATGACCGACTCTGGGGTTGCAGCGCTCATCTCGCTTTATTGGCCGAGGTAGCCGGCATACAGCTTCTGGGTCATGTGGCCAGCATGACTAAGCCGCTTCTGGCGAACCAGAGCAGTGCACAGAAAGGCTGTTTACCTTCCCTCCAGAGCGGTACCTATTTATCTACTTGCACTTTGACGTACTTTTGAACTGCTAGGTGGGCAGGAGCAGGGACTGAGCAACGGGAGCTCACCCCCGTCACAGGGATTCGAACTGCCAACCTTCTGATCAGCAAGTCCTAGGCTCTGTGGTTTAACCCACAGGGCCACCCACATTACCCTAAGGTTAAAAGTACAGTAGTAACTTGGTTTACAGCCATAATCCGTTACGGAGGTCCGTTTGTAAACCAAAACAGGTTGTAACCCAAGGTGTGCTTTCACCAATGGGGCCTCCAAAAATTTTTGTTTGTAATCCAAAAAAAAGGAAAGGGTTGTAATCCCCAAAAACTGGGACACGCACTTCCAGGTTTGACATGTTTGTAATCCAAAATGTATGCAAACCAAGACGTATTCAAACCAAGGTACCACTGTACTGCAGTTTTAAGTGCTGAGAGCTGGGAAAATGTGGAAGAGCACCTACAGTTTGGACTTTTCCACACTTCCACTTGTCTCAAGCCTAGAAAACAGGGATCCAATCAGTTTTCCGCTTCTTCCATGCTTCCTACGCACAGGTCTGAGGGGTTTTGCCTTTCTGCAAAACCAGAAAAAAGGTTTCCCCCTAGAAAACCTGCCCTTTAGATCTCAGTCTGTGGAAAACCCAATTGCCATTTGTTTTGACTGAGCACGGGTTTCCTGGGAGCCAACGGAGGGGCAAACATAGATGTGGATAAGCCCTGAGATTCTTTAGGGAACTCATGTGCTTAAATGTGCTTTAAATGTATGTTGTGTACTCAGCCTTACTCTTCGTAAAGTCACAGTTTCTTCCCATTTATTTGAACAACTTTTCTTGCTTTCTGTCTTTCTTCATCCCTTTCTCCCTCACACACACTTCCCTCTCCTTTTGTAACCATGCTTCTTTTTTAAAACATATCATTTTAAAAGCCACCATATTTCCGGATGATGATGCCACCTATTTTGCACATGGTGCCTGGGATACTACCAAGTGAAGTGCTGTAATAGCTGCTGTGATGTTTCAGCGGATCTTGTAAATGTCACTCCAGAAACAGAAGGGTCATGTGTTGTTCGCGGTGACATGCAATACTGTTTCCTGAGGGGAAGGAGAGGGCAAAATCCAGATTTGGTTAGCAGGCATTTGGCCCAGCAGGATGCCTCCCTGGTCTTCACCTTTGAGGTCATGCTTTGGAATCCCACTTCCAGTCAGAACAGGGTGTGGGGAGTGAACAGGATCTCCGCTGGTCCCGGAGCTGTCACCAGGTCATTCTGTCGCCAGTTGGAGTCCAGCTCCCTGCAGTCTGAAGATTTTTTTAAAAGGTTCACGAGTCAGTTGCTTGGCACTCTCATCCTAGTGCTGTTGAATGAAGGGCGTGTTTGTTCCTGTGGTTTGAAAGTTAGTCACTGACTTATCACAGGAACTATGTAGGTTGTGGGAGAGGTGAGAGAGGTGAATTAATCTTAATAACATCCGTGACATTATTTGTTCATAGTGCTGTATTCTTAGTTTTGGATATTATGATTTATGTGGAAATTGTTTTCTTTTTCTTTTGTTGTGTACTTTTTAATGTGTTTTATTTATTGTTTATGACTTTTGTTTTGTTGGTAATTACCATTTTTTTTGCTCTATAAGACTCACTTTTTCCCTCCTAAAAAGTAAGGGGAAATTTGTGTGCGTCTTATGGAGCGAATGCAGGCTGCGCAGCTATCCCAGAAGCCAGAACAGCAAGAGGGCTTGCTGCTTTCACTGCGCAGCCTCTTGCTTTTCACTGTGCACCCTGTTCTGGCTTCTGAGATTCAGAATATTTTTCTTTTCTTGTTTTCCTCCTCCAAAAACTAGGTGCGTCTTGTGGTCTGGTGCATCTTATAGAGTGAAAAATACGGCATGTAAATCTTGCCATGTTGAGCATTGTTTTAACTATGGAAAGGCGGCATACAAATAAAATGATGATGATGAAGCTATAATGCATCTTATGCTCTTCCATTTATTTATTCCTCATTAATTTATTCTGCACACATGATGAGTGGCAGGGCCAAAAAAAAGAAGCCCTGATTTTTTTTATTCGTTTCTTCAAAAGGGCCTCTTGTGAATATATAAAATCTGAGCTCCCCTTGCATTTTATTGGCCCCAACACAGAATCCCATGGGATTCTTGCTTTGCCAAACAGCCGTGTGCATTTCCAGGATATGCGACAAGCCGTTTTAACACTGATTGGGAGCCGCCCAGAGTGGCTGGGGAAACTCAGCCAGATGGGCGGGGTATAAATAATAA